TCATGCTTATTTGGAAATAAGACACATTGTTTTTTCAGTGCACAGATAGAGGAGTTGGATAGTTCCTTTGGTTAAATGAGGCTATCTTTTAATGAAGCCTAAAACCCACTAAGGCAAAAATCTCACTACCTAAGAGTGCTGAAGTCTGTGGAAAAAACAAATAAATAGGATGTCAGCAGCTTACATTGGACGCGGGTGGTGCTGTGGTCTAAACCATTGAGCCTCTTGGGCTTGCCGATCAGAAGGTCAGCGGTTCGAATCCCCGCGACGGGGTGAGCTCCTGTTGCTTGGTTCCAGCTCCTGCCAACCTAGCAGTTCGAAAGCATGCCCCCAAAAAGTGCATGTTGCTAAATAGGTACCACTCTGGTGGGAGGGTAAACGGCATTTCCATGCGCTCCTCTGGTTTCGGTGTTTCATTGCACCAGAAGCAGCTTAGTCATGCTGGCCACATGACCTGGAAAAACTGTCTGCAGACAAACCCCGGCTCCCTCAGCCTGTAAAGCGAGATGAGCGCCACAACCCCAGAGTTGTCTGCGACTGGACTTAACTGTCAGGGGTCCTTTACCTTTTACAGTAGCTTCCATTAGATAACACCATGCAGCATCCTTCAATTTTTTAAGGAAGTACATTTCATAATACTTTGACTCTGCCAGCTACGAAGGTACAGATATATGAGCTTGTCATAGCCATATATGTGTTAAATGCAAGCAGTTGGGGGAAGAGTTAAAATGCAATGAAAGAGCATATGGTCTGTAATAACTATGATCAGTATGCTGGCAGTTCCATAAATTATCACACACCGAGGCAGAAACAATTCCATAGTCTAAAATTTTAAGGATGCTAGTAGCATAACGTTCAAAAGAAGTTGGAGATTTGTACTGTTAAACGTGTGGATTAGCTTGCTGATAACTCATTTTGTTTTCAGCTTTACCTTGAAATTTGACGCTTGGGGATATTTTTAAAAAACTTTACAACACAATTCAGCCATAGTCAAACACCTTTAAATCCTATTGATTCAAACAGAAGAGTTAAATACATGCTTACGTACCTCCCATTCAAATCAATGGGACTTAAAAGTCCTTATCTTTGGCTGAATTGTCCCCTAAAACTTCTGATAATTAATTCTAAGATAATGATGTTATGAATCAATTTGACAGATTTTGTTTTGTTTTAAGTTTCTTTAATGATTTTTCCCCGTGGTAAAAAGATAGATGGAGATTACTCATAAGACTTACAACCAGAAAAGGCATAGATCTCACATGAGCTACTCATTGGCATTTGGAAGATAAGTTGGGTAAGTGTGTGGGGAATCTCCCCCTCCATCTTTTTCAACTTTATGTGCATGCATTCTTCTGGTCCCTCTGCCACTCAAAAGTTAAGGGAAGGGAAGGGAAGTGTATTTTTAGAGGGTGGGCTGATAGGGGCTGGTGAAAGTGGTGCTGAACATTTAACTCTCTGTCTCATAATTGAACCTGAGGTCATCTAATACAACAGAATGGTGGGAGATTCAGGACACACAAGAGGTATTATTATTATTATTATTATTATTATTATTATTATTAACCTGCCCATCTGGCTGGGTTTCCCCAGCCACTCTGGGCGGCTTCTAACAGAATATTAAAAACACGATAAAACATCAAACATTAAAAACTTCCCTAAACAGAGCTGCCTTCAGATATCATATAAAAGTCAGATAGTTGTTTATCTCCTTGACATCTGATGGGAGAGCATTCCACAAGGCGGGTGCCACTACCGAGAAGGCCCTCTGCCTGTTTCCCTGTAACCTCACTTCTCACATTGAGGGAACAGCGAGAAGGCCCTCAGAGCTGACAAATATATACTGTTTGCTTCTAGAGGTATATAGTATTGACATTCTAAAATACATAGATCTTTTCCATTATTTAAAGCATTTTTCAAAACTTTAGGATGTCAGTTTGATTTAAAGTGTACAGTAGAGTAAAACCACTTTCTCAAGCCTATGCATTTCAGAGGGATAGACCTTAGACCTTACTTACTAAAAACTTTGAAAGTGTATTAAGTGGTTACATTCTTATAAACATAAAATAAAAACTACATGAACAAGAAAGATGCAAACAGTCTAGCTCCATAAAGTTCTTCTGTTCTTCTTATATTAAGCATGTGGTTAACAAACACATTTTTGGTAAAAAGCAGATATCAGATTTGTTGTCCATTTCAAAAAGGGAGGAAGGACACCCATACAAAGAAACCCCTCCATTTAAATGAAACACGGTGTCCAGGACTATTTATAAGGAATGCTCAGGTTTTGACATATCAGCACATCTGGTGAACACATGAGCGATTACCTGTTTCTTCCACAGAGGTAAGCAAAGTATTTTAAACCTAACTTAAACAGCTGTTTTCCTCATTTTTAGAAAAAGGCTAAATGCATTAGATAGCCTTGGAATGTATATATGTGTTTTAAACACATATCTTTGCAAATGCTTTCCACAGCCCATGCTGAGCAAACAGCAGAAATAAGGCACAGTACATGTAATGATTTAGGCAGGACAACCTGATATTTCATACTTATTTTAGTGAATACCAATTCAAAAGAAAAACAGTGGGTTTTAGTTGGCCGTTCCTGCGTCTGCGCTGCAACTTTTGGAGCTATCCAAAATATGCGCTCATGTGCCTCTGAGACTGGTCTTTGCTGGTACAAATGGGGGAAGCATAATGTTTTAAAAATACACCCGAAGGAAAAATCTGTTGTGGTTTAAAACCGCAGGTTTTGCCTCATTTGAGGACTAAATAATATATTTGGTGAAGTTATTTTGAGCTATAATATTCATATTCATTATTTGGTCATTGTCTGCACTTTAATTTAGTGTGCCTTATTCTGTGCCATATCTCTGTTTTGATTTGTCTGTATTTTGACAACTGTCTCTATGAATGAACCACTGAAAAGTGGCTAGTGTCAGAGATGATGAATGTAAATGAAGGTGATCAAGTGACCTGAGAAATGAAGCTTTGTAAATTTCAATGTGATATTTGGATTGAAATTGGAACCAATTGCTCTTTTCATTCGGACAGATCAAAACTTAGTCAATGGTGACATTATATTTTTGTTAAGATAGATGTCACAGAATTAAGATAGTGTAGACACAAATATATATTACTTGAATATGCCACTATGCTATTTTGATATATTTTAAATGAACTGCTGATTGCTGAATTGTCAGTGAGATGATAGATATAGATAGATAGATATAGATAGATAGATAGATAGATGATAGATAGATAGATAACAGATAGATATGATAGATAGATGATAGATAGATAGATAACAGATAGATATGATAGATAGATGATAGATAGATAGATAACAGATAGATATGATAGATGATAGATAGATAGATAGATAGATAGATGATAGATAGATAGATAGATAGATGATAGATAGATAGATAGCTATAGATAGATGATAGATAGATTCACCGCACACAAGCTGCTCATCCCAACAGTTCTTTCCATAGGATTGCCCCCTAGTCTGGATACAACCTACTGTATTTCATCTCCCCCCCCCACCTCAACGATCTTCTTGGAGCAAAATGTATTTGGGAAAGATGTGACACGCAGGCATCCAATTATTTATTTATATTCATTTATCTCCTGTCCCCTCCCCACACTGCTGGTGTATTTCTGAAGGACTATAATGACAGCATGTGGTGGATCTCACTGTGGAGTACATTCCATGTGTATGAGTGGGCAATCGTTTTACTGAGATTAACCTTGCTCACTCTAAGTGTCTCCCAAGTGAGAAGTGGGGGGAAACTGGCATTCTTCCATTTAAAGTTGCTTCACTCAACTTTCAAACTTGGAACCTGGGTATGCTGTATATTTTCCTCTAACTTTTAGTATCAGAGTCCCTTCATTATTCCGTTTCCACCACATCAATCATCAAGGAAACAAGGTTCAGTGTTTTAGATATGTGACATACTACTGAGAAATTTACATAACCCAGGGCTTTTTTTCTTAAAAAAAGTATGTTTAGGGGTGCTCTCATTTTGACTCAAGAAAACCACCATTTTATAGGCCGCTATCGGGGTAGCAACAAAACTGATGATTCACCGTTCTATTCAATGGAACTGACACTTCACCGTGCTAGAGAACGAACTATTTTTTTTAAAAAATAGTTTCTTCTCCCGTTAGATTCACAAAATGTGTAGGGGTATGCGTACCCCTGCGTACCCCCCAGAAAAAGCACTGAGATAATCTATTTTCATTTATTTTCATTTCCATCATAATTTGAGTAGTGTTGCTCCAGATTTGCCCTGAACTTTGCTTTATATAGAATTGGAAGAGAACTCCTGCCCACCCTTACCATGGGGTTATTATAGCTTATATACCAGCAGACAAAATTAATTTGTCCATATTTATTTGTTTCTTTGTTTTAGTGACTTGTGTGTACACCACATTGATGCATTTTTAAAAATCTAGTACTTTATATGTTTTTTGAAACAAATGGAAGTGTTCAAGGTGGCTTTACACATAGACCAATAAAACTATTTCAGCCACAATAAAGCCGGCTTTAATAAATGATGGAATCTGAAACAGACACAGTGCATGCTCTGATGGATCTATCCCTCTTGGCTTGCACTTAATGCTCCTCTAGTTACATCAACACATGTCACACTTTTTGCTCTTCCACTGGGACAGTCATCACCCTATGACATTTTCATCATTTCTGTGTGTATGGACCAAAGCAAACCATGCTAAGATCTTCTGTGAGGGTTGCTGAAGGGTAACTCCTTATTTCTTTACTATAATATTCTACCTTTTTTCCTTCAGAAGGAGAAGTAGCCTCCAATAATATATATAGCGGTTTCCCAGAGAATTCTACAGCTGTGGTCATCTAACTTCATGCCCTCAAACATGCTATTTCATTCAGTGGAAGTAACTACTTTAGAATCATAGAATTGCAGAATTGGAAGGGATCACAAGGGTCATCTATTCCAACCCCCTGCAATGAAGGGATCTTTTGTCCAATATGGTTCTTGATCCCCACGACCCTGAGATTAAGAGTCGCATGCTCTACCAACTGAGCTATCTAGGAAAATAACAAGAAGTTGAACAGAGGTATCCCTGAATGGATTGAAAAGGGTTCTACTTCAGTAACATTTTAAGGAGCAGTTTAGGTCTACAATTTTATATACACTTCCTTGAGAGTAAGTCCCATTGTACTTGATGTGACCTACTTCTGTGTAAGCATAGGCTTACAAAGCTGACAGGGCAAACACTCCTCTTTAGAGGGAAATATGGACTCGGCTACAGCAGAGATGGAGCGTTCCAGATATTGTTGGTCTACAACTTCCATCAACTCTGACTGTTGGCCATGGTGACTGGGGATGATGAGAGATGGAGACCAATAGCATCTGGGAGGCCACAAGTTCTCCATCTCTGAACTGCTACATAATTCCAGTGAGTTCAGTAGTTAAATCAAACAGAGATTTGCAACACTGAAGTAACTTTTTATTCAAACCACTGTCTTATTAAAGCAGCAGGACACACTCAGCCTGTTTAGAAGAAAAAATAGAACAAAAAAATTGTTCTATTTCAAAAAATGTCAACAACTTGAAGAGTTGAAGATCTATACAGGAAAGCTGAAAAATAACCTTTTTTTTGGTCATGATTTTCTAAAAAAAACCCAATCACTACCACCACTGCATTTCTCCATTCTTGGTTTTGTTATTTTATTTGAATAATACATTTTGCTCACAGTGTTTCTTGCTATTGTGCTTTCATTGAAATGATGGCTGCTGTGCAATTAAGAATAGGAATCCAAAATGTGATGGGGAAATGCGCAAAGCTCCACCACCAGCACTGACATTGTTCATTCTAATTAACGAAGGGGAATGAGAGAAACAAGCGAAAGGAGAGTTAAAAACAAAGCTTTGGAGAAATGCAATGTCAGGCGATTTGCCACTTCAACCCTTTTGGCAGAAAGCTGGAAGAAAATGTTCTCATTACACTGGCAAGACCTCGTTAACTTTAACAAGGCAGTACAGGTGTTAGTGGAAGCAGACTTTCAACCAATATCTATACGTTCAGTAAACAACAACAAAAAGTGAAAATTTATACCTGTTTGTGCACAACTAGGTTCCAGCTTTTTGATGGGCTTTTTTAGGTAGACGAAGGCATTTGGATCATGCCCCACAGTGAGTGCTAATGAAGCATTACGTGCACATTGAGCCTGATTTTTATTTGTGCACCATCCCTGTTAATAACGGCATCTAATTAAGACACCCATTAAAAGTCCATAATGTTAATTTAATGGAAAAAATTCCAATAGAACTCCATTAGGCTCCCCCTGTTAGTTTAACATTATACAACGTTAACAAATGTCTTAATTAGACATTGTTACTGAAAAGAATATTATACAATTAAAATTAGCCATTGTTTAAAATTGAAAGTAGTATCCCCTATCACTACTGCTTCATTTGTCATGAGTTATATACCCCTGGGGCATTTGTAAAAAAAAGTAAAAAGTCAGGAATTGGATGCCACATTCTACCTGGGTTGGAAAATGGCATTCCATTCATTTATGCGGCTGTGCAGCTTCAACAATGGTTCCAAGAATGAACATATTATTACAAAGGTTGTGCCATCCCCAATTTCTGCTCAGCAGTAGCAAGATTCCAGGGGGTTCCTAGTGTTTCCACTGGGAAATCAAGGTGCAGCAGAGACCAGTTTCTTTAAGACTGGTCTATTGTACACATATTCACACCTGGGTCTTTGGAATATACTTGCACAGCATTCAGAGGTGCGGAATACTGTTAGTTTTCCTGATTACAATACTAGCACTCCATTCCTGTTTTCTAATATTCCAATGAAGTAACTCTTGGGTTATGGAATTGTGGCTTTTTGGCCAATATACTGCCATGTCACGCTAAATTTCATTCACACTAGTTGGGATGCTGTCACACAACAATGAATGTCATTGCACAGCGTTGCTCCTCTCCCACACTTTCATTCATACGTGCTTCTGCTCCACCATGAAAACAGAAGGAAAGAACTGTAGCCCAAATTTCATCAAATAACTTCCAGGTTAATGGGGCTGCAAACTGATTTCTTTCTTTCTTTCTGGAATCAGATAACAAAGATTTCAGTGCTAAACATGCACTATATCCTATTGATTTTCTGAAAGTGGCTTTTATGTTGTGTGAAAGCTCAAATATAACCCTCTGAATTGGCAGTTGCCTCAACTGGATGACAATCACAAAATGGGATGGTGCTCTCTCTAGCCTACTCCCTCAGGTCTCCTTAGAGAGGAAAAACAGATTTCTTTACATTATTATTTTAATAATAATAATAATAATAATAATAATAATAATAATACTCCACCCATCTGGCTGGGTTTACCCAGCCACTCTGGGTGGCTCATAGCATATCTAAAAACATAATAAAAACATCAAGCATTAAAAACCTCCTGATACAGAGCTGCCTTCAAATGTCTTCTGAAAGATGTGTAATTCTTTATCTCCTTGACAACTGGGAAGGCGCCACTACCAAAAGGCCCTCTGCCTGGTTCCCTGTAACTTTACTTCTCGCAGTGAGGGAACCAGCATAAGACCCTCAGAGGAGGACCTCAGTGTCCAGGCTAAGTGACGGGGTGGAGATGCTCCTTCAAGTATACTGGGCCAAGGCTGTTCCCTATTTTTCAGTTTCCCTCATTTCCACATCAATTTGCTTTTATTTTTAAAATAAAGTCCTTTTCAAAGTCCTAATGAAAATCAATCAGTATTTTAGTGTGAATTTCTCCTCATATACCTATTTTAGAATTCACTTTCCCCTCAATATGATGCATTTTATCTATTTTTACTAATTCACACATTTTTATGCACACATTATCCTGCTAAATACATTTATGTACACATTATTTGCCTGGAGAACGTCATGGCTATATTCATAGAAGTATGAATTGCAAAGGATGGCTCTGTTTCAGTTCGTGCCTTGTTTTGCAATGTGCAAATTAGGTAGGCTCACCTTTAGATGTGAGGTGCATCAAATTACTCCTCCATCTCTACCTGGGAGTAAGATCCACTGAAGTCAATGGAACTTACCTCTGAGGTGAAAGGAGGCTGGCAGGCTCAAGTGTTCCATTTCCCTACACAGGTAGCTGTAGAGGGAAAAGAAGATGGGAGCCAAAAGGGCATCAGAATCAAGGCATAAAACTGAGAGGGATCAAATGAATGGAGTCGAGAGGAAAATAAGAAAGCAATGGGAGAGGAAGTAAATTATACTTTTTAAAGGAATAAACTCATCTAGTTGAAAGACACCTGCAGCCAGCGAAACTTTCAATATTTTTGATATGAAGTAAGGGGGAAAAGACATGCTGACCACCAATTTTATGCTATTGCTTCTTGTGAATTTCTGCCTGGACACATGGGGTCCTAATTTCCTTTCATTACCATATTGAAGGGTGAACTGGCAAAACAAATTGCATCTCTCCTCTGAACAGAACAGAATAGAATAGGAAGTACTCCTTGGCTTTCTCTTCTGTGTGAAGCTCCATTATAATTCATTTCTAGTCATGTTTTGTCTTTAGGCATTGTATCTAAACTGTGTTGTTACTTATACTATTCTCTTCTTTTCCTCGCTTTAGTACGGTTTGAAAATTTCATATAATGTCTTAACCAAAATAATTGTTGTCGTAAGGATCCTGATGCCTTTGCTTGCTGTAGTGTCCCTGTGTGTTGTTCTGCACAATATTTGGTTGCACACAGAAGAAGCTTCCTCTTGGCTACCACATCTATTGTTATTGACTACTGGCATAGACTGTAATACTGACTGTACAGTGCTGCAGGGAGCTATTGGCTAGTGCCTGAACTGTCAAGAAGTGATAATAGAATCATAGAGTTAGAAGAGATTCTGAGGAGCATCTAGTCCAACTCCCTGCAATGCAGGAATCTCAAGTGAAGCATCCAGCACTCAATGACTACATGAATTTATGTACCATTTTAAATTTCAAAAAATATTTAGAGCTTGTGCATGGATTTATTAAACATAAAGTTTTAAACATCTTTAAGGATTTCTGAAATAAAAAATTTCCACCATTTTGGTGGTCATTTCTTTATTCATTGTTTTTTAAAAAATCAAATTTAAAAATATGGGCACTTCACCTGTTCAGTGCTGCTCTGAAAATCTCTATGGCTTTTTAAAAACAATGGTAAATAAGAATATGGCTATCCATCCTGGAACAAAGCTACCAAAATCCATTACATGGGGTGACATATGGCACTACTAGCAGTGGCAGAAGTATAGATGCGAAAACAAACTAAGAAAACAAGTATTTTCCCCATTGTCTGAAAAGGCTCATAAAGACTATAACAGGCTGTAGAAAGCACTACAAATGTAGGTATAGTTGTACTCCTGATGTGCTTGATGCTTCATTATTTATCACACCACACAGTGAGTGCAGTATCAGAATAACTCATACTTTAATTAGAGAGCAATAAACCTAAGTGTACTGCAGTAAATGTGGTGACCACAAGAAATTTCATTCCCATTGATCGCGATGGCCCTCCGGGTGAATTAAGAGAAACCTGTGTTTCAGTCATGCTGTCAACCTTGCTGGTGCACTCTTCTGTCACTGTCTCTCAAAGAAAGGTTTCTTGATGAAGATCCTGATGTTATTGCTAGCTGTCAAAATGAGCAAACTAGCCCAAGAACTTTAATAAATGTCTCAATTATATGGTGGTCTTGTTGCTGGGACTCCAAAAATATCTCTTTGCAGAAGCTAAGTCGTAGTGGATACTGTTGGAGAACAATTTGGCATTTCAAGTTGATGCAAGGCCCAGAGTTTAAAAGAATAACGAGTTCTGGAAACAGAACACGATGGTTTGGGCATCTCCAGTTGTGTTGCATATTTTCAGAGTGTTCACCCTTGCATAAAACCACATCTTCCAACAGGTTGGGCAGTGGGAAGAGAACTGTGAGTTTGTTTGCTTAAATTAGCTTCCAAAAAATGTATTCTCTCAGATCTGGTTCTGGATTTTGGAATTCTTTATCACCTGATCCTCTTTACAAAATGGAAAGCAGGTAGTACAGTTTACT